TTCCCACCTGTTCTTCCTTCCTCTTCGAAATGCACATCTGTAACACTCAGGGGAAAGACACAATCATTTTTTGCATCGCAGAATTTTTATGAGATTTTATCATTTCAAACCAAGGGTGGGTTTTCTGAATGCCATATTAATCAACTGCAGGATTCAACCAGAAATGAACGCCTTGTTAAGCAGTTTCAACAGTATCTATCATTGAATTTCTTTGGGTAAGTAACAGAATAACAGAGTTGGAAGGGACCTTGGAGGTCTTCTAGTCCAATCCCTTGCTGAAGCCATTCCAGACAAATGGTTGTCCAATTTCTTCTTCACAACCTCCAGTGTTGGAGCATTCACAACCTCTGAAAGCAAGTCGTTCCACTGGTTAATTGTCCTCACTGTCATGAAATTTCTACTTAGTTCCAGGTTGCTTCTCTCCTTGCTTAGTTTCCATTTGTTGCTTCTTGTCCTGTCTTCAGGTGCTTTGGAGAATAGTGGTTAAATATTGTGTAAATCTTCTCAAGCGTTAAAAGCCAGCTTTGCTTTTGAGCCCCATCTTAAGTCCATGACTTCAAACAATATGGGGAGATTGTTGTTGAAGGAATTATAAATAAAAATAAACAAAATAAATGCACCCAATTTTTCACGTGAACCTCTTTTGCTTTAAAGCCGTGGCTTTGTAAATCCCTTTGTATAATGATTTTTTTAAAAAATAAAAAAAAAATAAATCAATGTGAGGGGACCATGAAAAGGAAAAGGTCAATCTGGCTGATTGCCTCAGACATCAAAATTGTTCAAATCAGCCAAATAACAGCGATGGGAGTTCAGAGCAGTAAATTCTCTGGAGAGACAATGAGGAAGCAAGATCACTTGATAAGTGTTTGAGAAGGATTTTCACAGATGTTGTTTGTGTTTCAATAGCCATCCCAAGGCAACACATTTGTTGAGTTTTCTCCTCTTATCTAGTTGCTTTCTCGTTGCCATGAAAACAGCACAGTCTCTCTTGGAGCCCCAGAAGGTCATGTTTCCATTGCCATAAAAGGCACCGTCTTGACAAATGGTAGAGCCAAGCCAAACCCAACTGCAGGAGGAGGGAAGAGAAGGTTTTCTCCAGCTGTGGGGGACTATCCGGAGATTAAGATCCATAAATTGAAGGGCGTGTTGAGAAATGTAATACTCAGAGGCATTGAAAAAAAACAGACAAAGTGAAATCAGAGTTATTGGAGAGAAAGGGACTGTTGGTCTTAGCGAAAATCAGGCCTTATTTATTTAAGAAGAAACAACTTGAAAAGTTTCTCAGCTTTCATGGCAATCTAATTCAATCTCACTCCTCTTTCTTCTCTCTTTCCTCTCTTTTTTCTTTCTTTCTATCTCTCCTCTCTCTCTTCTCTTCTTTCTCTTTTGTTCTCTCTCCTTTTTCTTTTTCTTTCTCTTTCATATCTCATTTTCTCTCTCTTTCTCTCCCTCTCTCCTCTCTCTGTTTCTTTCCCTCCTCTCCCCTCCCCTCTTTCTCTTTCTCTCTCTCTGTCCTCTTTCCTTTCCTCTTTCTCTCTCTCTGCCTCTGTCTTCTAAATCTGACAACACTTCTCACCTTCACTTCCACAATGGCTGGCTAGGAATGAAATTGAATAAAAAATATCTGGTGAGAAAAATAAGCTGGGCTCAAGCCAACAGTGATTTTCCAGGAGTAGTTGTATTTGAGAGGAGGCAAACAGCTTATTTGGAATAAAAAAACAAGATTTAGAGCACGCTCGGTGTGCTTTGTCTGTTAATCATAGCCAAAGAAAAGCTGGGTAGTTTTGAGTTCAGCGTTTCTATGGTAATAACAGGTTTTAGGGTGCAAACATTCTGGAATGGGGCATGACTTTGCTCACTTATTTTCAGAAGAACAGTATTGTTAATTGCACACAACTCGAGAGTTGGTGTAGGTTAACTAACCTAAACCTAAATTAACTCAAATGAATGTGGAGAATTTTAAATTCAGATTCGGAAGAAGATAGTCTGTATGTGTGTGTTCAGTAAGTTATGAGGTATCAAAAAATCATCAAAATTGGCTTTAAACCTCACGCCACATTAACTTATACCCTGATTCACTGTCCTCCTTTTTCCAATTTCCAGCACTGCTATAATCGTACCCCTTACTACAGCAAGCATATTGTTACGTTGAACAGTTCCCAGCCCTTAGCATAAAAACATTGGATATGAATTTTGTACACAGTTGATTTCTTACAATCTGTATTATTCCAATGTTTGGCCTGTATGGGCAACAATGCATGATGTTTGCTTATAACTGGCTTGTTGGAGAATTCTCCATGAAAGAAGGGGGAAAGCTGTCCAGGGAATGGCAATCATTACAAAAATCTCAGCGGTTGTCTTTGAACTAATTTGATCATACTAGACTCAGAACAAACAGTTGCTTGATCTCTTGGTTGGGGAGCACTCAACAGCTGGAGGTTGAAATTTTGTCATTAACCAAGTGAGAACTTCCTTCAAGGAAGACATTGATTGAATCTATTTGACTTTGAAGTATTCTCATTATTAGTGGCTGGTTAATTGTCATGTGTGCATGTGTGAAAGAGAGAGAGAGAGACAAACCCCATTTAGATGTGAAATTCAAGCTACCAATCTAGAAAGAGAATACTTGTACCTCAAAATTGAACTGTGGGGTCCTTGATACTTTATCAGCTTGATGGTTTTCTTGCAGATGTTTCATTATCAAGTAGGTAACACCATCAGTTTTAGAAGGTTGAATGTTAACTTTCCCACTTCTAGCACCGATAATGTTACCTAGTTGGGCAATGAAGCATCTCAAAGCATCAAGGACCCGACAGAAACCTAGACTTAGTGAATTCTAGTCCCACCGTAACCCCAAAACACTTTGAACCATTCACTTTCTCTCAACCTAAAAGGGCTAAAGCCATGGCAAACACTTCAAAAAAGATTACCAAGAAAACTTCAAGACCTGAAGGTACATAAGGACACAAACTTTTGTGAGATGTATATAATCTGAGATAATATCATCTCCTCTCCCTAAACTGTGAAAATATTTTTCTGCTATATTTTGCTATATTCTCTCTCTCAAAGATCAGCTTCAATAGCAAGGTCATATTTCTAATATCTGATTTTTAACAGCCCTTCTTTTCTCTGAGTTCCTCTGATTTATCCGGTGGATAGTGAGGTCAAAGTTAGGAAAGAAAAGCAAGTTGCAATCTATTAGACCAGCATTTATTCTTCTCCCAGAATCTTTTTTCCCCCCCATTGTGTTGACTTGGGTCCAGTTGTTTTCTTCTTCTGAATGTTTTATATTTGATCCACTTGCATTGCCATCCAAATTAATTCATACATTGGTGTTTCCTCTGTGTAAAAGATGAGATTATTTTTGCCTCTAGCACTGGGGAACTAGAGATACTGAATTATCTCCAGGCACTTTTGATGAAGATTTCTAGTTTGCTGCCACTGGGAACTCTGCTTCATTACCAGTGTTGTTAGGATACCGTGCGAAGCATCAAGTCTTCCCTGCCACTCCTAATTATCCCGAGCAAGGTTGCTCAGGGTTTATCAAGTGAGTCTGATAAAGCATTATTGATCTTCTACTGCCTTTATGGTGCTTCATGGGAGGGAACAAAGAGGACGGTGGTTTCTCCATGCTTAACCGTTCTGCTGTGCTCCTGATTGGCTGCTGTTTGGACTAGAGAAAAATAATTGTTGGAGGATCCAATTTGAGTTGATCCCTGGGACCAAAGATTTATTCTCCCAAGCTTTCGGACTTGTGCTGGAGTCCCTCCTGAGGAAACTTCTCACTCTCCAGAAAGGGACACATTCTGGAGAAGTTCTCTGAGGATGGATGGCGGCACAAGACCAAAAATTTAGAAGAATAAACCTCTGATCTTGGTGACGTGCAACATTATACTGGGACATATATATTTGCCTTCATTCTCAATAATTGTTGGCTTTTGGCCAGAGATGGTGTTCAGCAGGTTCTCATCAGTTTTGGAGAACCGGTAGTAGAAATTTTGAGTAGTTCGGAGAACTGGTCAATCCCACCTCTGACTGTCCCTGCCAACCACATCTCTTCTCTGCCTCCCATCGAGTCTCAGATGATTGTCTGGGTCTTCTTTGGTTGCCCTGTCAGGAGAAGAGAGCTGGAAAGCAGGTTAGTGGGGTGGGGAGGGAAGGGGGATTTTTCAGTATCCTTCCCCTGGAATGGGGAGCCTAAAACATATGAGGAACTGTTGCAGGAATTGGGTATGCCTAGACTAATGAAAAGAAGGACCAGAGGTGACATGATAGTAATTTTCTGAAATCTAAGGAGTTGCCACAAGGAAGAGGAGGTCAAGCTATTCTCCAAAGTACCTGAAGGCAGGACAAGGTCCCTTCCAACTCTGTCGTTCTAAGTGAGTAGACCTCCAAGGACACATCAAGGGTCTTGAAGAAGTAGCACTCCTACACACTCAGTTTCTAGAAAAGGTTATCCCTAGAGTGGCCCAAGCAATCCCAATCTCATAGAAGTAGTCCTCAACTTACAGCTTTTCATTTAGTGACCATTCAAAGTTACAATGGCACTGAAAAATGTGACCTTATGACTGTTTTTCACAATTACATGATCACATGATCCAAATTCATATTTGTGACCCGTTACTAAGTCCTGAAGGGGTCACGTGATCCCCTTTTGCAACCTCCCGACCAGCAAAGTCAACAGGGAAGCCAGATTCACTGAACAACATTGTTCCTTGTATCAATGGCAGTGATTCACTTAATGGCTGTAGCAAGAAAGTTTGTAAGATGGAGCAAAACTATTAAATGTCTTGCTTAACAACAGAAATTTTGGGCTCAATTGTGGTCATAAGTCTAGGACTACCTGTAGTCTGTTCCAAAGCCTAATTAAAATGGGTGTGACACTCAGTAAACTAGGAGTAATAGTATAAATTCCTATTTTCTTTTCTTTGTGTGGCTTCTCTCTTTCTGCTAGAACTGCCAGCTACATAAGTCACTTTCATTTATTTTGATACTGGTAGGTATTATTAGTCGGCAAGAAGCAGAAGAATTGTTGATGAACAAGCCAGAAGGGACATTCCTTGTGCGGGTCAGTGATAAAATCTGGGGATATGCCCTTTCGTACCGGCATCACAATGGCTTCAAACATTTCTTGGTGGATGCGTCAGGAGACTTCTACAGCTTCCTGGGAGTGGATCCCAACCGTCACGCAACACTCACGGATCTTATCGATTTCCACAAGGTAAGAGTCACTAGGGAAAGACTAGTCCCTGAACTGGACAAATTAATAATCCATAAGAAAGGAGGGATACTTTAAGCCAGGGGTCTTGAAACTTGACAGCTTTAAGACTTGTGGATTTCAACTTCCAGAATTCCTCCTTCCGTCATGTTAGCTTAGGAATTCTGGGAGTTGAAGTCCACAAGTCTTAAACTTGCCAAGTTTGAAGACCCTCGCATTAAGCATTTGATCTATGGACAAAATTCATATTTATTGACAGACTTAGCTCCAGGAAGCTGCTAGGTCAACTGTATCTAGTTTGCAGAAAATTCAGAAGCTGCTGTGACCATTGCAGAAGATTGCAGCAACCAACTGCTCCAGCTTGTATTTCTAAATTCGATGTGCTCTTTGAATAAGATTCCCAAAACAAGGTTTGCCCATGTTCAATTGTAACATGGACAGCATGGCAGGAAACTGACCGGAAATTGTATGGATAAGGTGAAGATTTTGTGTGAATGTCAGCTGTGTGGGGCTGTGTATGTCTAACATTATTCTGCAAGTTACTAAGTGAGTAACTGGCAAGGGCATATGGTACACACCCTTCATGCGCAATCACTCAAAATTTGGTCTTCTGTAGCTATCTTAGGACCTGAACTTAATTTTCAATCCTCCTTTATTGCATACAGGTAGTTTGAGCTCAGGGATGTGATGGCTCAGTGACTAAGACGCTGAACTTGTCAATCAGAAAGCTCAGCAGTTTGGCGGTTCGAATCACTAGCGCTACATAATGGAGTGAGCTCCCGTTACTTGTCCCAGCAGCCTCTGTCAACCTAGCAGTTCAAAAGCATGTAAAAAATGCAAGTAGAAAAACAGAGACCACTTTGGTGGGAAGGGAACAGTGTTTGTGCACCTTCGGTGTTTAGTCATGCTGACCACATGACCAAGGAGACATCTGGCTGGCTTTGTAACGGAAATGAGCACTGCCCCCGTCGAGCCAGAAATGACTAGCATGTATGTGTGAGGAGAACCTTTACCTTAGCTTGAGTTCAGCACGATTTAGTCAACTTGGCTGATCTTAGATTTTAGAAGGTAAGCAGGGTCAGCCTTGCTTAGAACTGAGACAGAAGATCACCTGAGAAATTCAGAATAGATCAGAGATGGTGGTGACAAATCACTCATCCCCCTGCTTTATTCCTACTCAGTCATGCTCGGCCAATTTTGCACCAGTACAACATGGTTTTAAGTTTGTAGACTGAGAAGCACTTCAAACTTACTTGAGATACTGATAGAACTGAAGACTTGTCCTAATCAATATTTTTCATTCTGCTGGTGACATTTATTTTGCATTTGCAGGAAGAAATAATAACATCTTCTGGTGGAGAGTTGCTTCTGGAACCTTGCAGTCAGACGAAGAGCACTCCTGACTATAATTTGTTATTTGAATGACTGCTTTTATGGTTTACTCACCCCCTTCAGGACCCTAGGAGAGATTCTGAAGAACCAGAATTATTAGCAAAAGAGCCCCTCTCTGAGAAGTGAGGTACTTGTTATTGCCAGATTATCATCTGCAACCTGTACGAACAGATGTCTTACGTAGACAATCCAAGTTTCTATCTGCATGCATTATTTATGTCGTACATAATGCAAAGCTGGGAGCAGCTGGACCTGGTAGTTGTCTAATTGTACTCCCAAATATAGTGAATGCCCAATAAAGATCAAATCTCCCTTGATTTTTCAAATGATTTTCACTATGAAAAATTAAAACACTATATGATTGATCCTATAGGACAGAGGTAGGGAAACTTGGCTCTTTTATCACTTATGGACTTCAACTCCCAGAATTCCTGATTGAGCCATGCTGTTTTTTTAGTTGTGGGGGAAATCCCTGGCCTACTGGTTTTTTAGTTGTAGGGGAAATCAATTTTTGATTTGAATGGGACATCTACAAATGTAATGTATACGTCCTACATTTGTATATTAAACAGTCCCATTCAAGTCAAAAATTGATTTCCCCCACAACTAAAAAACCAGTAGACCAGGGATGGGGAACCTTTTATGGCTCACTCAGGAATTCTGGGAGTTGAAGTCCATAAGTGATAAAAGAGCCAAGTTTCCCTACCCCTGTCCTATAGCAATGGACCAAAGGCTCATTGAATGGTATCACCTATTAAAAATTATGAATGGTTCTTTGTTGTTCCGATACGCAGTCTATTTTTCTGAAGATAAAATAGTTAAAAATAGTAGGAGATAACTTGTCTATCAATTGTCCCAAAGGTGCTTTTTCAGGAAGTAACTGGATTTCCTTGTTTTCTTTGAAGAACATTTTGCTTCTCATCCAGGAAGCTTCTTCAACTGTGACTGGATGGTGGGGAATGGAAGGATTTATATTCCTTGCAGACAGCTGGTCATTTGCATCCTTTCAGAATGTTGTTGAGGCCACTTGGAGGTTCACAATTTGGATGACTGAGACTCTGTAGTAGATATTTGTCCAATGATTGTGAAATGTATCAGCTAAAAATTATGGTGACACCTCTCACAGTTGCAAGCCAGTAGGTGAGGATGTGGATTGTGAAATAACATATCATGATATGTTCCTTCACTCAGGCTCTCTAGTTTGGGGAAACAATGGTTGGAATTCTCCATAATGAAGGAATGGACAATAAAGATGATGGAATTTGCTGAGAAGGCCAGATTGACTTCTTTGATGAAATAAAACACAAAATCTACATTTATTACTCACTGAAAACTCCTTATAGAATTTTAGCCTGAAACAGGGAAAAAAGAACTTATGATTGAGGTTTTGATGATAAAAAAGGATAGATTATAGAAACATGAGAGTCATGTTGTAACTTTAGAGGTAAATGTATAACTGCACTTATAACTGCTGTAAAGAAGACTGGAAGGTACTTCAGTTTATTATTTTTTATTTCTTAAATGATTTTTTCTTTTGCCTTTTCCATTTCTTGCACTTTTTAACATTCTCTTTCATGTCTTTTCTTTATATCACTTTGTATTCATTTGTATTCCTTTTCAGCTTCTTTTAAAGTATATATATATATATTTATTTTCTCACAGACGAACACAATACAGAAGCCTGATGATGGCAAATGAGATTCTGCTGAAACGTCGCCATACATTGAAGTACCCGCGAAAACTTATATACATATACATACACATACTATACCTATACACAGGGGTGGGATTCAAATTATTTAACAACCGGTTCTATGGCCATGGCTTAGTTAGTGGGCATGGCTTCGTGGTCATGTGACTGGCTGGGCATGGTCAACTCAACATCACTCACATCGAGGCACACTTCTCCTTGCCTGGCCTCTCGTGACTGTGGGGATGCTGCAACAGTCGTAAGTGTGAAAAACAGTCATAAGTCACTTTTTTCAGTGCCATTGTAACTTTGAATGGTCACTCCACACAAGCAAAATACCAGTAAAGGAGGAGAACAAAACTTCAGAGACATTCCTGAGACAGGAAGTCTAGTCCTGCAAGAATTGTAATAAGGGTTAACGGAGAGACAGTTTCTGTAAGCAACACCAGAATGTTTCCTTCCTGCCTTCCTTACAAGATTAGCCCAGTAATTTCTTCTAACAACCGGTTCTCCAAACTGCTTAGAATGTTAACAACTGGTTCCAGCAAATAGGTGCAAACCTGTAGAATCCCACCTCTGTATATACATATACATGCATATGTACATATACATATACATATACATATACATATACATAGTATTCAGCTTTGTTCAAATATTTTCCCATGTCATTATAGTTGTGCTTTTAAAGTTGTAGCAACATTTTGGCAGTCTAAAATTTAAAGCTACAACTTCAAAAGCACAACTATAATGACATGGGAAAATACTTGAACAAAGCTGAATACCATACATATAAATACCAGTGAAAACTTAAGAAAACATATATATATATATGTATATATACTCCCAACCAATCAGGTTGAAGAAAAAACCATTCTGGCATAGCAGTAGGCTAGCACCAAATTTAAAACCGAAACGGCTGTGAAAGTCTGACTCACAGACGAACACAATACAGAAGCCTGATAATGGCAGATGAGATTCTGCCGAAATGTTGCTACACAACTATAATGACATGGGAAAATACCCAAACAAAGCCGAATACCATACATATAGATACCCACAAAAACTTAAGAATACACACACACACACACACACACACAGAGAGAGAGAGAGAGAGAGAGAGAGAGAGAGATGGGTATCTTCTTTTTGCTATGACTGTGCAGGAACCATAAAATATTCTCCGTTGGGCTCATTCTGACTGGATTTCAAATTCCTTGGAGATTCATCCACATTGGAAGGAAGGATGATTTCCCTTGCTATGACACCCTTGAGTCTCTTTTCACTTGCTTCACTGAATTCTTTTTGTCACTGAATTTTGAGACATAACATCTGTCACTGGAAGACTGAAAAACATCTTTTAATGCAAAAGTTATCTACACCCAACTGTACTAAAGTTGGTATATTTTCTGCTTGTTTCCCAATGGCAAATAAACTTTATGTTTATGAAAGAGAGTTTATTTTCCAAATCCAGGTGGAAGTATACCCTTAAATCCCACTAATATCCTTTCAATATCTAGTATGTTAAAAGCCACACACATACACACAATTCTATTAAGCAAGCAATGAAAACCTTTAAGAGTAAACAAACCAAATGCTTTAAAACGTAAAAAAGGATATTAGCAGAATGGTAAATCTGCTGGATTTCTTTTGAAATTAGATGAGAGGGAAATTATTCTCAAGAATAACTGCTGCAGAGTTCTGGTTAGTAAGATGTGTTAGAAAGAAAGCTGAAGAACCCAAGAATTTTGCGACTTTTCTAATTAGAAAGCAATATTTCCTCCTTCCCCCCCCCCCCCCACACACATACATTGGATAGGAAGCTTCTGGTTCTTTTTCTCATCAAATATCCTACAAAATGAGGCTAGCTTGCATGGTGGATTATTTTGGAAGTGGTTGCTGGAGTTCTTACCGATCTAAGACTCAAGCCTTACAAAACCATAAAAACATAAGCAGACTGAGTAATTTCTATCACCGTTTTTTTCCTTCCTTTTCTTAAACTTTGGTTACTTTTGGTGTAGGGACTCGAGCAATGCTATTAAAGAATGTTTTATCCTTTCATTTACCCGTCTCATTTCCAGAAGCTGAGTCATTTGCAAAATACCTTACCTTGTGACTCGAACACATGAGGTGAAGAATCAGGAAACATTAATATTCTCAATTATTTTAAACCAGTAGCAATTTTGGTTGGACTATATCTAGAAGGCAATGGAACATCCTTCAAAGGAATGGCGCACCTTTGCTGTAAATATGGTTGATCCCTGCAACTTTGGATATATTTCTGAATGCATTTTATAAAATAGTCTACTAGGAACAAATGGCAGTCAGACCCGCCTCCTTCCATCACAATTGCCAAAAATAGTGTCTGCATTGAGTTGAAAACACATACAATTAAAAAAAAAAACCCTCACACATTCTCACCCATTCCTACACACGTTACAGAAAACAACACAACCCAGAAGTGTCAATAAAAGAGAATATTTGTAGTTCAGGGTTGAAATGAAAAGTCCTTGGTGCTCTCTGAGCTTGGTTGTTTTCTTGCAGATATGTCATCATTACCCCCAAAGTAGATAGTATCATCAATGTAGCATTTGAGCACTGATAATGCTACCTAGTTTGGGCAATGAAACGTGTGTAAGGAAACAACCAAGTTCAGAGAGCACTATGGGCCACTCACTTGGAAGTGTGACAAAACAGAGGCAGTTAGGTCTAGTGGGGAAGGCACCAGGTTAGAAAGCAGGAGACTGTGAGTTCTGGTCCCACTTTATCCATGAAAGCTGGCTAGAAGACTTTGGGTCAATCACCAGGAGATGGTGAGTTCTAGTCTTGCTTTAGGCCTGAGAGCCGTCAGGATGACTTTGGGCCAATCACCACAAGACAGTGAGTTCTAGTCCTACCTTAGATATGAAAGCCAGATGGGTGACTTTGGTCCAATCACCAGGAGATGGTGAGTTCTAGTCCTGCCTTAGCCATGAAGTCCAGCTGGGTGACCTTGGGTTGCTCCCTCTTTCTCAGCCCAAAGTACCTCATATTATTGTTGTGGGGAAAATAGGAGGAGTTATTTGCATAAATAATAAAGGCGGGTTACAAATAAATAAATATCTTGCCCACTAAACCAAAAATTATCAATTCTTAGAACAACCCTTTCAAGTTATTGTCCACATGGTTGGTGAACAGCAACCCTGCATACTGAAATTATTGTCTGGGATTGTTCTCAAGGGGTGACAGCTGGATTTTTAGGAGCATAATACACCTCTGGTACAATTCCTAAACAGGCAGTAGTTTATAGATTATTGCATGATGCTAGCATAAAGGAGAGTGAAAACTTTTCCTTTGGCCTGTCACC